CCGTGGTGCCCAGTGACAGGACAAGAGGCAATGGGCAGAAACTGAACCACAGGAAGTTCCATCTGAACCTGAGAAAAAACTTCTTTCCTGTGAGGGTGACTGAGCCCTGGAACAGGCTGCCCAGAGAGGTTGGAGTCTCCTTCCCTGGAGATATTCAAAACCTGTCTGGATGTGATCCTGGGCAATATGCTCTAGAGGCCCCTGCTTGAGCAGGGGGGTTGGACTAGATGATCTCCAGAGGTCCCTTCCAACCTAAACCATTCTGTCATTTTATGTATTGTAGTCTTCTATGAAAAAAATTCTGGTAAACACTAGAGAAGATGCTAGCAAAAAGTGAAGTTGCAATTCAACACTGACTGAAAACTTAAAAACAGCCCCTTCCACCCCTGCTGCCGAAGTTGACATTGATACATATTCATCTTAACAGTAAAGAAATCATTTGCAGTACATACAATTTTTGCTTTAGCGTTAGTATCCTAGTATTTCTTCCAAAGCAAGCTAAGGAAGTGTTCCACACAGATCCCAAATACTCACTTTCTTCTCATGGGACAATCTTTCATGAAATGGCCAATTTTACCACAAATTCTGCAGCACCTATCATTCGGTGCCAATTCTCCTTCTGTCAGTACCTCTGGATCAAAGAAATACTCCTGAAAAAGAAATCATGCATTCAAAAAAACAAGTCCACGCACTTGGGAATCTAAGACAGATAAACGAGAGTTAAAATACACTTGAGTTATGGAAAAGAATAAACCTATGTGTGAAGCTGAGCTCCTGAAAGACCAGATGAGATAAATGGCCACCGCCACCTCTTCTCCACAGTTAGCTTATGGACCATCAGGTCTGCAAGCTGTTTAACTGCAGTTTTAAAAAAATGGTAAGCTGTTTTGATAGGGACTACAATTTATGTTAAGCCTGTACCATGAAGCCCTGACTTGACTAGTATGCTGCACATTACCACTTTTCACATATTACTGAGTACTGTTTTTGTGGTGTTTATAACTGTCACAAAGATTTGTTAGAGTACCATTTAAACGAGAAGAGCGTAAAGAGAGTGCAACCATACTCCCACAAGTGATACCTTATATACCGTAAGATCAGGCCCACGTACACACTGCCCTTTTAAAACTGCCGCATCCTTTAAAGCAACTTACCATTTTTGATGGATATTCTTTAGGGAATATTTTTATAGGGGTACCAAATACCCTCCTCCCATTGATAAAAGCCTTCATTATAAAGTTTGTCACTGAAAAGAAGAAAAAAAAGAGACAAAAAATCATCCAAATATGAAACAAACCATCAAAACAGGATCTAAGATAAGATCATCATTTTATGCCCAAATTTGTGAATAGAAAACTTAATTTTTCTTGACAATCCAGCTCCAAGATTGTGGTTCAGGTCAAAGGGATCTGTATAAAAAGCATTACATGCATTACTCGAGTCCAGGGCAAAATCAGCATTGTATATATACATGAACAACTCAAGGCAGCTATTCCTGATGCAGAATTAATATACTGAAATTAAATTCTTTGCAAGTTTATTGAACGCAAATTCACTCCAAGGACAAAGAATCACAGCAGTTTAGCTCTGAACTGACTGAAATATTATAAAAGAATTAGTTTCGTGTTGGGGCAGGAGAATAGAAATCCTTCCTGTGAAAATCAGATGGGCCAGTGAATCATGGCTTAAGGAACTTTTCTAAAACATGTCAGTCCATTTTCTTCATACCATGGTATTACTTAATAGTGTAACACATGCATTTGGTATGATCAGTCATAAATATGGAGTCAACAAAATATAAATTAGTGAAAAAAAAAAAACTTCAATTGCGTTACAGCTAAGTTCTTCTCCAAAGCATTTGGATAAGTTCATTTAAGTCAGTTGCTGCCGTTATGCAAAGTATGAAGTTTACTTTACAGCTTCTTTTCAGATAGAAAAGAAAAATCGAAGAATTTCTAGCATTACTGGAACTCAATGATAATTTTGCTAAGATTTCAAAACATGCATAAATAGCAATTTCTAATCTAGCAATAGAAAAATGAAACAAACCGTGTGGAAAGACCAAATTTTTCATGTGGGCGTTAAAGGAATTCCACATATTCATGTGCTTTATGTGCTTTTACCTTCAATTACAATGTATTTAGAAGTCCACCGCTTTTTGAAAGTTGTGAGTAGATTTTTTCTCCTAATGCATATGACATGCTCTTTAAAATCAAATTCCTCTGTGTAGAAACGGAGAAGTCCCAGCCACAGCTGCCCAACAGATTCAGTGTTTTTGCCACATTCTGGCCAAACAACAGACTAAAAA